CCCTCTCTCATCTTCAATCTGCCCTTATTATTGTTGCTTCCTACAGAATATCCTTTCTCTACCACTCTTAAAAACTTTTTTTTCCCACTTGATCCTGCTATCCTTTCAAGATATTGTCATATGTTTCCCCTCCCTATCATAAACACCTAGATAAAATTGTCTACTGGACTGCCTGTTTCCTCACCTCCCTCTCACTTCTCAGTCCCTTGCCATCTGCTTCTGATGTCACCACTTTACTGAGACTGCTCCCTCCAAGGTTATCAAAGGTCTTTTAACTGCTAAATCCATGATCTTTTCTCAGATCTCATCCTACTTGACGTCTCTGTGTCTTTGATTTTAAATTGGGTTCAATTCACCAGGCATTTCTTAAGCACCTACTATGTGCAAGGCATTGTACAGAGACAAAAATTAAGTCATTCCTACTCTCAAGGAGCTTACATTCTACTGGAGGGGTATGACTTTTGCACAAGTAAATAAAAGACAAAGGACAAAGTTATACAGAGGACTTTCATGAAGGAGAGAGCTTTAACTGGGACGGGAGGGAGGATAAGGAAAGGCCTCTGCAAGGACATGGTACATGCGCTGTGCTTTGAAGGAAGCTGGGGTTTTTTAGAAGGTGGATGTGAGAAGGAAGTGCGTTCTGGACATGGGGAACCCCTTGTGTAAAGGAAGGTGGATTACTGAAGAAGAAACATAATTTCACGGAACACTTGGTTGTTTTTGGAATGCAATGCTCATGAAAAGCATTTGCAAAAAGACCACCATGAAGGGAAGTGAACCTTATACGTGTCTGCAGCATCTCCTGCATCATATAAGCAGAACATTCTCAGTGGGGATGCAAGGAGGGAATGGGTAGGCTTTTGGAAATGAATCTCCAGCAGAATACATCTATACAGTCACAAAAGTGACTGAAAGATGTAGACGATACATGATTCTGTTGTCCTTAATGTTTGAACATTCAGTTTGCCAGAGAAAAGCATCACTTTAATGCCTCAAAGTCTCTCCTAAGTATGGGTCAAAATTGTACAAAGTTCCTTGAAAGGACTAACACTCAGGTAAATTTATTCAATGACCCTCTGATTAAAAGTGAGGCATAAAACAGTGAAATGTCTGCTTTGCAAACATGCTTTGTTGCTCTCGTGAAGAGTTAAAATGGAAGATGACTACCTATGAAAACCTACAGGTTCTCTAGATGCTCCAGCTGATAAATGACATCTCTCCAATTGGATCAATCCCTAGACCATTTCAGTCTCATAGATGAGATTCATCATCCCTCGAAAAGGTTAAGTCTAACTATCTACAAAGGAAAAACTAAGTGGCTAAAGGATAGCTATGATATGCAGGTAGGGGCTGGGCCCAGGATTGAATAGGAGGAGAAGAGAAGGGTGATTTGCTTTGGGGAAACTGTACAGTGTTTTTAATGGCCTAAGCTTCAGGACTATATTTTTAACATTGATATTCTTCCAGTGATGCTCCATGGATATGAGTCATGGATTACTACAGGTGCTGAAAAGTGAATGTTGTAGGTCACTCCAAGGCCAGTGGAGACATGTGTGGTGGGTGAGAGCAGGCTGTAACACATTACTAATAAAGAATCGCATAGGAGAAGCATGCATAAATATTGATATCAGAAAGAGGTATGATGGGAGAAGAAATATGAGTAGTCATGTACTAAAATCAATGGATAACCAGGGGCATCCACACATTATCAAGTGATCTAGGACAGCGGTTTCCAAAGTAGACCGTGTGATCAGCCAATCAGAGGGCGGCAAGATCTACCCTCTCCTGGATAGCCAAGGGCAGGGTTTGTCTCCAGTAAGATCAAACCTCCCCTTATCCTCCAATATTCTTCCACTCATTATGCCCATTTCATAGATGAGGAGATATCCCATTCTTCTGCTCTGCAAAGTCCTGCCTTCTTCCCATTTCTTAAACACCTACTGTGGGCAGGGCATTATGCCAGGCACACAGAGACAAAAATGATATCGTTCCTACCCTCAAGGAGCTTACATTCTACCAAAGGGATATGACATATACACAAGTAAGTAACACAAAGGATAAGGTTACACAAAGTAATTTCATGAAGGAGAGAGCTTTAACGACCAGGAGGGGAAGGGAGGATAAAGAAAGAAAGGCCTCTGCTAAGAGATGGCACATAAGCTAGGGTTTGATAGACCTTTGAATACCTTAGAGAGAGCAATCTCAGGAGAGCGGTGACGTCAGAAGTAGAGGGAGGTGAGAAAACAGAGTCAGTTTCCCAGAACTGGATGGGGCCTTAGAGGTCATTCCCTCCTGAGCTAGGCATTGCCCACTCATAGTAATTATAGTTTATTCACTGCCCAACACCCATAGCAGAAACTGCATAGTTATCATTGGAAAAATTCAACACTCTCCCTGCTAATGTACCCATTCCCTGCCCCCCAGAACACCTCACAGCTGTGATAGCTCCCGCCCCAAAAAAATGGTGGGGTCTACAGTTTGGGACAGTGACCAGTGAGGAAAAGCTCCCCCCTCCCCCTTTTTATTTCAGATAGGCTGGAATGAGCTGCACAAATTGAGTAGGCACAGACAGCTACAGCAGATCCCAGAATCAGCTCTTTGCATTATCTTTTCCTCCAAATTCACCCTCTTTCAAACTTGCCTACTACTGTTGAGGGAACTACCATCCTTCTAGTCACTCAGTTTCATAACTTCAGCATCATTCTCAAGTCTTACTCTCCTTTACCCTACAGAGATAATCCGTCTCCAAATCTCGTCCTTTTCATTTCCGCATTCTCTCCTCTGTTCCCTTTTCTCTCCTCATACAGCCTCCACCCTAGTTCAGGAACTCATCACCCCTCACCCAGACTATTGCCATAGCTCCTGATTCGTCTCCCTGCCTCTAACCTCTCCTTTTTCCAATCCACCCTCCATCCAGCTGCCAAGGGGATTTTCCTCAAGTACAGGTCTGACTGCATAGAGCCCTGTCCTGCTCAGTGAACTCCAGCTGCTCCCTATGCACTCTGGGAACAAGTATCATTTAATATTATCTCACCCTTTTTTAATTTCCATTTTTTTGTTCAAGTTTTGTAGTGTACAGAATAGCAGCACATAATATAATGATGTGCATAAATATAATATAGATATAATGCATACAAATATCAGTACATGATATAATGTATGTACATATAAATAATATAATGTATACAATATAATATAATACATATAAATATCAGTATATAATATGATGTATATAAACATCATATGTCATATTATATAATGTACATACATATCACTGCTACACGCAAATAAATATTGATTTATTGTTGAATATTATATTAATATGAAATTATTAAATTTGACTAGACAATGAATAAATAAAAATTAATAATAAATTTTTAAAGGTAATTGGGGATGTTTGCTCAAAAGGATTTTAAAATCTATTGAGGATGTTTTGCTCAAGCAAAACAGTGTGGAGAGCACTTACGTAGGCAACCTGGGTGGACACCCTGTGAAGGATTTGTGGGAGAGCAGAGATAAGAGCTTAGGGTGAGAAGGTGTGGATGAACAGTAAGCTGTGCTCTGCTATGAGTGCCAGCCTCTGTGAGGTTACAGAACCATGGATGTGTTGACATAATCATTTTCCAGCATTCCCCTTCACACTCTACACTCTAGCCAGACTGGATGATTGATCAGCCCCTGGACTTTTCCACACTCACCCACCTCTCAGCTGCTCTTCATGTCATTCTATCTGTCTCCCATTCTGTATGATGAACTCGAATGCTCAACTCTCAGCTGCCATGGCTGTTCACCCTTTGCTTCAAGGCCCAGCTCAGGGACTATTATCGTCACATTTGTCTTATAGTAATCTGTACCTGCTTCTTATCCTGTCAGGAAGACTGGAAGCTTCCTGAAGTCAAAAAGCCTGGTTCATAGGTTTAGAACTAAGAGTGAGCACTGAGGTTGTCTCATCAAATCCCATCAGCTAAAGTCCTGGCTGAGCAACGTCTCTCTGCCCCTCCACCAGCAGGAAATCAGCCCAGGAGAGGATGCCCTGGCCATTCCTAGCAAGGTGGCTATATTTACTGTGCCAGTGAAAACATGTAGAGGTGAAGCAGCTAGGTGGGGCAATGGAAAGAGCCTGGTGTCAGAAGACCTAAGTTCAAATCAGACACTTTCTAGCTGTGTGACCCTGGACAAGTCACTTGACTGATTCTGTCTGTTTCCTCAACTGTAAAATGTGGATAATAATAGCACCTACCTGCCGTGGTTGTTGTGAGGATTAAATGAGATAATATTTGTAAAGTAGTTAGCACATAGTAGGGGTATACAGTATTGGCAGCTTACATTTTTATAGTTCTTTTAACTTTTTCCTTTCATCACAACAATGATAAAAAATGCCAGATCTACATACGCTCTAGTACAAGATGAGAAATGCAAGAGTTATCGTTGCTATAATTATTATTATTATTATTATTATTACTACCAAGTATAATCATTATGCCCATTTCATAGATGAGGAAACTGAGGTTTAAAAAGGTCAAATAATTTACCCAAGGACACACAGGTTTCAGAATGCTCTTTGGCCACATGGGATGTTGGAAAGTATTGTATTTAGAGTCAGAGGAACTGGATTTGTTACTTACCCTCTTGTGTGACCTGGGAAAAGTCACTTAATTTCTCTGAGCCTCAATTTCTTCATCCATAAAATGAGGGGGTTCAACTTGAAGGCCTTGAAGGTTCTTTTCAGTTTTAAATCTAGGACCCTATGACATTAAGTACAATGCTTTCCTCCTCTACACATCATTTTTCTCAGTGCAGATGCTCAGTGTGAAAAGGGTTCAGAGAAGAGAGAGAGAGATCAGAATTCACTTCAGCAATCAGATGGTAGCTCCCTCTGAGTCCTGAGGATGCATCTAGCTGGGGTCTTGGCTGAGCAACTACCCTCAGCCCATTCCACCAGCACGGTGTTAGCCCAAGAGAGGATGCACTGGGCACCCCTAACAAAGTGCTATACTTACTGCGCCTGTGAGAATGTGAGCGCTCGCAACATATACAGAGACCACCTGAGGGAAGAAATGAAAAGTTTCAAAGGTTAGTGTCACAGGGAACTAGATGGCACAGTGGATAAAGTGTTGAGCCTGGAGTCAGGCCCATTTTCCTGAGTTCAAATCTGGCTGCAGACACTTACTAGCTATGTGACCCCAGGCAAGTCACTAAACCCTGTTTGCCTCAGTTTCCTCATCTGTAAAATGAGCTAGAGAAGAAAATGGCAAACTACTCCAGTAACTTTGCCAAGAAAACCCCAAATGGGGTCATGAAGAGTTGGACATGACTGAAACAATGGACTAACATGTCTTGGGGAGTACAAGGGGTAGGACTAGTTAGATTTCATAATCCTAAAGAAAGAAGGTACCAGAGTGGGTCGTCTATCCCTAAGGAGGAATGCCCTCTATAACATTCCCAACAAGTGGCCATGTGGCTTCTGCTTGAAGATCCCCAGTGATGGAAACCCCACTCCATCCTCAGGAAGCCAATCCCATTACCAGACAGCTCTGATTCTAAGGAAGCTTCCCCCTCCTCTCCCCCCATCTTATACTGAGCCAAAGTCTCTTTCCTTGTCATGTGGTAGGATCATATTTAGACAAATTTAGACAACCTCTAACTCGTAGGTGCTTAAGAAGTTCCTGGTCAATTAAATCCAATTTAATTGGTGGACAATGTCAAAAGTCCCAGAGAGGTCAAATAGGATAAGGATTTAGAGAGGACTGTGGATTTAGCAGTTAAAAGACCTTTGATAACCTTTGAGAAAGTAATCTCAGTAAAATGGTAAAGTCGGAAGCAGATTGCAAGGGACTGAGAAATGAGAGGGAGGTGAGGAAACAGAGGTGCTTTCCCAGAACTGGAGGGAGCCTTAGAGATCATCTAACCTATTCCACCCATTTTATAGATAAGGAAACTGGAGACCAGAGAAGTAAACTGACTTGTCTGAGGTCATATTGATAATAAGTGACAAAACCAGAATTCGAACCCAGGTTCTCTGACTACAGATTCAGTGCTCCTTCCGTGATCAGTTTTGCCTTCTATCTCTAAGTAAAATTAGTCTGATCTCTCTTCCCCATGATAGCTCTAGAAGATAGGAATCACCCCTCACTCCCTTCCCCAGTGTTCTCTTCTCCTAATTAGATATCCCCATCTCTTTTAATGGTCCTTCCAAGTTTCCTGTCTCCTCCTGACTTTATGACTGAGAGAGGTGAACTGGGGGAGAGGGATGAGGGTCAAGGATGGTTGAATAAAGTCTTCTCACTTCTCTTCAGGACTATATAAAACCATCCAGTACCCTTTTTATGGTGCTTGAAGGTAAACCATCCCATCCCTTTCATTTATCTAGTTGATGAATCCATCCTACTTCTCTTTCTTGCGCTCTTTAAACAATCACAAGGAAGATTCCAGGAAATGAAGAGTACCTTATTGCTGTCAAACATGACAATGTCAGTCTCGCTTGGAGTTCGGTTTTTGTCCCAGTTGGAAGCATCTTCAAAATTGGTGTTTGGAATCCACTGCTTATACACAGCAACAGAAACCTCTGTCAGAGGTTGAGGAGAGAAGAGAAAGGAAAAATAAAAGATGGAATGGAACTCAAGAGGCCAGCCAGGGCAAGCTTTTGTCTCCACATCTCCACCCCCTTTCAATGGATGCTCCTAGATCTAATCTCCAGGACCCACCCTTATACCACCAAAGAAGTACATCCTAGTATTTGACATAAATATTTCCTGTAACAATTCAAGGGAATTTCTAGAACTTGAGAATGCTAGAGCTGAGAGGAGCTTTAGAATCATAGACCATAGAGTATCAGAGCTGGACCTTAAGGCCCATAACTGAAGGCCAGAAGGAGAAAGTGACTTTTGTCCAAGGTCATACAATTAAGGCAAAGCCAGGACCAGAAACCAGATGACTGTATTTGAAACCAGAAGATCCAAGCCTTAGTTCTGTTACTTTCTGCCCATGTGACCTCAGGCAATGACTTCAACTTTCTAGGGTTTGGTTTTCTCACATGTAAGTGGGGGTTGGAATAGGTGATCCCGTTCCAGCTTTAAATCCTCTTTTAGTGACCCCTCTAAGATTCCAGTCTTCTCCTGACTTTATGACTGAGAGGAGTGAATTGGGGGAGAGGGGCGAGGATGGCTGAATAAAGTCTTCTCACTTCTTTTCACAACCATATAAAACCATCTGGTACCCTTTTCATGGTGCTTGGAGGTAAATCATCCCACCCTTTTCATTCATCTAGTTGATGAACCCATCCCACTTCTTTCTCCAACACCCCATTGCATTCCCTCTAAGCAGGCAAGCACCAAAATTAGCCAGGGTCCCATTGGGAAAGCTAGGGACATACAGGTACATGCAGATTGTAGCTTGTCCAGAATGTACAGGTTCTGCTGTTGCTCCTGGCCGGCCTGCTAGGAAGCAAGGACCCCGAGGAAAGGGCTGAGTTCTGCCCACCCTGCAGGCGGGCAGGCAGGAAGTTGTATGTAGTCTCTGCAGGTCAGCTGCTAGACCATAGAAAAGTTAACCCTCTAAATTAAACAGCTCAACACAAGGAAAGAACCATGGACCAGAGGTCAAGTCCCCAAATATTTTCTAGCTGTGTGACCGGGATGAAGTTACTACCTCTCAGGGACTCACTTGACTTTTCGCAAGACAGGGACAAGAGTAATTTCACTAGCTTTCTTGCCAGGCAAAGGGCCCACTTTCTAAACCATCAAATGCTATAGAGAACTCTGTTGTTACTGCTGTCGACAATACTATGCTGTTAATCAGAAGCGCTCTGAGGCTTGCAGGAAGCACATTCTGTTTTTATTTATGCCCACATGAAAACCTTAGCCCTGGGATTTCCTCATGCAAGGCAACCAGCAGCCCATGTTCTTTCCCTTAGTCTCCTGTCTCTCTTGGAAACAAGAACAGAATCTGAGGCTTTGTGGAGCCTGGGGAGCTGTGGGTAGATGGATGGGGGGTGGGGTGTTGATCTGAAGAAAGCTCGTTGAGTTCAGTGAACTTGAACCGTGGCTGCGGGGGGAGACTCCCTGAGGAGAATACAAACTGAGCTCATCAAGCCTGAGGGGAGACGCAGGAACAGGGAAATTTGACAAATTAAATTAAATTCAACAAATATCCCACTTCCCCTCCTGGGTCTCAGTTTTCTCCTTTGCAAAATCAGGAGGTTGGAATACATAGTCTCTAAGGACCCTTCCAGCTTTAATTCGTGGGCTCTTTGACCTGTGATCTAAACTCAGTTTCCTTAGATAAATATTTCCTATGTATAAAACCCCATCCTGGGCACTGAAGTAAATAGAAAGCTGAATAAGACATCCTTCCTCTCAAGGAGTTCACACCATGGCAAGGGAGTTAACAGACTAGTTGGGGTAGGCATGGGGGTTCCGGTAGCAGCCCAAATCTTCTTCAATACCCAGGGCATTTGGTAAATTCCTTTTGGAGAGGTGGGAGAAGGGGCATAGCTAACTCAAGATGCCTCTGAGGGCTCGTATACCAGCCTTGCAGAAACTCTCTGGCCACTTGGCCACGGACAACAGAGGTCTCTCCCTCTGTTGAATTCCTAAAGCCTTCAGGTGAAATCACAGGATCTCAGAGTTAAGAGTGACCTTAAGGGGACATCTAGATTCAAACTGCACATCAAGAAAGCAATATTCTCCCCAGCACTGGGTCATTCAGCTTCTGTCTGAAGACGTGCCACAACAAGGAGCATGGAGTAATGGAAAGGGTATAGGATCAGAAGTCTGGGGACCTGGGTTCAAAATACTGCCTCTAATACTTATCCGTTGTGTGACCACAGATGAGGCACTTCACATTCCAAATGAGATAATACATGTGTGAGGGGGAATTGCATCACTCTGTACTTGCTTAGATGGCAAAGTGTTATAAGAACTAGTATTCTATTATTATCTCTGAGCCATGGTATCATCATCTGTGAAATGGGAAGACTGAGCCCAACCTACTTCACAGTTAAGATAAGGAAAGAAGTAAGTAAACTTTAAAATGATCTATAAATGTGTTTTTGTTACCCATCAATGAGCTTTTATTAAATGCTTGTGTTGTGCTAAGTATATAAAGACAAAAATGAAATAGTCCCCTCCCTACAATCTATCTATTTTGGGCCTGTTCCATTGATTTAAATGGAAAGGCTGATCTCAGAATTGGGCAGACATGGGCTCAGATTCCTTCGTTGACCCAAGCTGGTGACCCAGGCCAAGTCACTCAATCTCTTAGCGCCCCCCAGGCACCTCTATAAAATGAAGACACAAAACAGTTGTCAATCTGAATTGGTGGAAAGAATTTTCTCACTAGATATTTCTTGTGCTGATGAAATAATAGATCCAACCCAAAATTGTTAGGGATGATCATACATGTTAACATGTTTCCTAAATCATTTCCAATTTCTCTTTTCTATGTTTCCACAAAGTATTAATAAGCCCCAAAGAAAGGCCTCCCACCTATTGGGTAGATCTTTTATAGAGGATTTATGGGAGGGTATGGCAAGAATCACAATGAATGACAAGAAGTTGTGGAAAGGTGGTGACCAGCACTGGGGAAGGAGGTAACCCTGCTGATGCTTGTAAATGCTTTACTCCCATCCAGCTTTTTGGAGACAGAGGCCCTGAGACTGGGATCCTAGTGGGTGTTCAGTTTATAGGTTTGACAATTCAACCAAAGTCATAATTCTGGGCCAAAAGTAGGGCATGTGTGCACACACGTATTTATAATTGTATGTGTATATATACACATACACATATGGGTATAGATGATATATAGATAGCCTACTAGGTGTATAAAGCTATATATAGATAGGTTACATAAAGATAGAGAGATGTTGCTGTTCAGCCGTTTTCCAGTTGTGTCTGACTCTTTGTGACCCCATTTGGGGTTTTCTTGGCAAAGATACTGAAGGGGTTTGCCATTTCCTTCTCCAGTTCATTTTACAGATAAGGAAACTGAGGCAAACTGGGTTAAGTGACTTGTCCAGGGTCACACAGCTATTAAGTGTGTGAGGCCAGATTTGAACTCAGGAAGATGAATCTTTCTGACTCTAGGCTGGGTGTTCTATCTTCTGTGCCATCTACCTGCCCCAGATAGAGAGAGAGAGAAAGAGATAAATAAAATAGAGCTACATTTGAGAGAAAGAGAGAGAGAAGATACTGCCTCTTTTGTATGTTGACATTTTGGCTGCCAAAAGAGGTGGAAAAAAATTTTGTGTAAGGAATACTGATAAAATCAACCTAAGAAGAAATAGTCCCTCAGATATAAATTCTTAAGGACACAAACTGTTCTGAGGACAGAGAGAAAAATGTTCCTCAGATGAATGTGCTGAGAGTAACTCTTTGAAGGCAGAACACTGGCTAAGTTACAGATGTCGGCAATGCATTGTGGTCCATCAGTTTATTCACATATGATTGTTTTTTAGTTTTGAAGAATATAGCTGGTAAACTGTGAATCAAATATGGGAAATATGGCATGATCTTATGAGGACTGGGGCCATACTTGAAAGGAAGGTATATATTTTTTGAGTTTTACATCCTAAGTTAGAGATGAGTTGCTGCTTATAAGGCCCTTATTTGCGGCATTTGAAGAGGTAGGTTGGTAAGAAGGAAGACAAGTAGGTAGGAAGGAGATAGATGGCCAGGTGAAGACAGAAGCAGGAGAGGAAGCTGAGAATGGAAGGAATCGGGATAGAAGACACAGAAAGCAATGGAGGAAGCTACTTCCAGCCGAGGTTACAGACAGCCTCTGGAGCTAATTCACTGGCTGTTGTGTTATTACAATAGAGGCATTGCTTTGCCAAGAGCTGGAGAAAGGGTGAATCAATTGAGAGAAGTGACTGAAGCCAGATAGGTTGCAGCTTTTAGAATCTGATCAAAAGAAAGCAGGATCTTTTACTTTTTTTATTTTAGCTTTTTGGTGAGGCAATCAGGGTTAAGTGACTTGCCCAGGGTCACATAGATAGTTAAGTGTCTGAGGTCACATTTGAACTCAGGTCCTCCTGACTGCAAGGCTGGAGCTCTATGCACTGTGCCACCTGGCTGCTCCTATCTTTTGCTTTTTGGAGAGTTTTCTGGGCTCCTTGCCCCGCAGCACCATCTAAAGCCTGCTAAAGGGGAAACCTCTCACGGCTGCCTGCATTGCTCTTTATCGCCTTCTGTAAGTTTGAGAGGGGAAAGAAGAGGAAAGATGGGGTTTGTAGCTATTTTGAGCTACGCTGATGCATTTTGCCAAAAGAACATAACACTTTCCCAGCACCTTGCCAAGAGGGTGGGTGTGCACTAAAAGAGCTTGACATTGCTTCAGTGGCATGAGAATAGCAAAATAATGACACCCAGTAGGAGAGCTGGGAGGTCCAGCAGGGGAGTAGATGGCAGAGAAGCATTTCTGCCCATCAGGTGATGTGTACAGATTGTTTTCTAAAGAGACCAAGGGCCTGAAGGCCTGCTGTCTCAACTCATGGGTTGATTCAGGCATAGGAACGTCCCATTCCTATTCACGTGCCTCCTTGCTGGATTTTTATAAGTGTGTGCTACC